ACCTGAGCAAAGACATTCCTTCCCAAACTCAGAATGGAACCCAGGAAATGGTCTCAAAAACGCAATCTGATCTCGGAGATGGTACGGTGTTCTCCATGTTTTTCAACGTTTGACAGCAAATATCTCAAGAACTAATTGTTCCAACACTTCCAAATTTCTTGTACAGATGCACAATCGAATTCCCAACAATTTAGCCTGGACGGGTCAAGTCACTAAAACGTACCGTTTGGCAGTTATTTCTGTTTTCAGCTTTTCTGAGTAGTTTGCTCCAAAAAATTAGTATGGTAGATGATGTCCTGGTGATTCCAGAACACTAATTGTTTTGAACGTAGACCCAAGAACAACTGAGATACAGCCTTTTAAAGAGGGAACTATTTCTTCTCCGGAACTACTTAATAAAAGGTACATGACCCCCGTGACCCCGGCTGTATTTGGAAGATCCGCTCGCCTGTCAAAACATGTGTTCTGGATCCGGTTTGGACGATGATATCTAGCCCGCAGATACAATAGATAGAAAGTAAAGCCAAGGAGACCTCATCGTTGCCCGCAACTATATTTATGTCCATTACTGTAATGATTTGATTACAGTGCCTCGTACTGACGTTTTTGCTGCTGAGTATACATTGAAGTGAATGTCTGCTTTGTTTCTTATGTACTGTTCACCACTGAGTAAAGTATTAACTATTAACGTCAAATAGACAACGTAAAACATGTTAGCATCAAATATCTTAACCTTGTGGAGACGTAAAAATGACGCATCACAACGTAGGACACAACGTTGTGACAACGTGAAATTGTCAGCTGGGATGAACACATGTCATATTTGGGATTACACTGTCTCAGTAAAGTACAGATTCTAGTACTTTTTTGTTGGCTCCCATTCGGGTTTCGAACCCACACTCTGAGTCAGGCACCTAATCGCAAGCACACACAGCCATAACCCATCCAACCCACTCAGCCACCGCTTCTTCCACGCGTGTTACATTTAGGAGATAAACATCATGTGTTGGCCAATTTCCGGGTGCTATTGAGTATTCGAAGCACGGAAATTCATTTGGAACCGACGGCGTTAGCCGAGGTTTCAAATGAAATATTCCCGTGCTCATGGTAACATCTGGAACTGCTCATTTGTGACGTCATTCCGACTTTCCGTCACAATATGATTTAAATGACGTCACCACTGCTGACGACGCAGCAATACAATTGCGTGCGATATTTGTACGTGTCAATACGCAGTGAATAGTCTTGCAATTTCCGGGAATCGAATACCATTCGATCATGTTTTTCAAGCAATCAGATTAAAGAACACGGTTACTTTTGGTTTACAATAACATATGTGTATCCTATATTTACACGGGATATACAATTTTTCGAACATCGTTAAAATATTTACATTTAAAAAACAGGCAGAACACAACTATCTTTAACACTTTCGGCAGGGCTTCAGATAAGGGCCGTATCGGCGTATGTACAGCTAAACGATATGCACGATAGGGAAGGAAATAATTTAGAAAACCTAGCAGATACGTACCACAGCAATGGTGTTCTGTCTTAGAATCATTTACAGACATATGCATCTGAAAAAGTATTGTTTTATTGTTTATTTACCTGTTTACAACAAGAGCAGCAATGCTGTGGTGCATATATGAAACGAAACACAAGATTACTGATACCCCATTAAATTCCATTCTGTACATGAAATGTACTCTTAAGGTTCACATATATTTAAAAAAATAAGGAGTATGTACTCCTGATGTTGAAAAATTATCTGGAGCCCTGACTTTCTTCGTAAATGTTCTTTCATGAATAAAATATTCGTTTTTCAACGATAGCTTCAATCAGGTCTTTTTTGTAGCACAACAGAGGTCAAGCTGCCCCGGTGGGTCAGTCGATCAGGAAACTTCTATCGCTGCTTTAACGATGATGGCTACAAGTGGTGGGTTCTAATGACGTGTATTGCCATGAAGCCAAGGCTTCCTCTGGTTACGCCTTCCCGTACACAATAACATCTGCCATAAACAGACCACAACACCAGCTGACATTGTGGTGCGCGGACAGGGACCGTATTTCCTCCATTAAGCGCCGACTACGTTTTTTCTATAAATGTATTCTCCCTTGATTCAAAAATAGATTTATTAAGGAACGGTCCGTAACTTTGACGGAACGCTAACTATAGTCCGTTGGGCTCAAAAGCGGATCGATGAATTGCAATCTAACTCGAAAACTACTAAACATATAACATTCAATGAAACACCGATTATATTAATCAAAACATCAGACCAACTCTGTGATTTTTTTGCAGAAATTATGTCCTAAAATTAAAAGAGTTGTTTAACAAACTATCATTAAAATTTTGACAATGTTCACTATTTGTTACGAGGGAGGACTGCAAAGAGAGGAACAGCCAGGTGTACGTGATGCACGTGCACAAGTGCCGAAAAAGTTATTGAATCATTTAACTCTATCCTGCCATCTCTATCCTTTCTCGCACACCTGGCTGTCCCTCTCTTTGCACCCCTCCCTCGTAACAAATAGAGAACTGTGTCAAATTTTTAATGATAGTTTGTTGAACAACTTTTTATATATTTTTAGGACATAAATTCTGCAAAAAAATCACAGAGTTGGTCTGATGTTTTGATTATGATCAGTGTTTCATTGAGTATTGTATGTTTGCAGTGTTCGAGTTAGATTGCAATTCATCGGTCCGCTTTTGAGCCAAACGTACTATAACAATAATTTACGGTGCACCCTGTAGTACCCGAGCGCTTATTAGAGGAAGTACGGTCCACACTTTACACCCTCCGCATTCAAAAAGGATTCACAGCCTCCACACTAAGGAAAATCTCATACCACATTTCGCTATTTGTGTGAACAATGAGTCGATATGTTTTTTTATCGCTGCGTATTTCCTGGTTCGATAAAGATATCGGTATTAAATTAAAGCTTATTGGCACACTTCCTGTATGAGTGGTAACCAACGGATGTAACTGTAAAAATCCGGGTTAGAATTGATCTTCAGCAACCCATGCTTGCCGTAAGAGGAGACTAACGGGATCGAGTGGTCAGGCTCACTGAATTGGTTGACACATGTCATCGTACCCCAGATCGATGGTCACGATGTTAATCACTGTATTGTGTGGTCCAGACTCGAGTATTTACAGACCGTCGCCAAGAAGCTGTAAAATTGCTGAGAGCGGCGTTAAACAACAAACCAACCAAACCCAATGGATGTCGTGTCACCACTAAACTGAAGGCTGAAAGAAAGTATAAACTTGAAAAATGGATTTAATGAGAATGTGTTTAAAGTCAGTGGTTCATCATAACGTTAATATGGGCCGAAGAAACTTTAAACGAACATCAAACACGGATATGTACTTTCAGCTGCAACGACGTTTGTTTGATGTGTGGCATCAGATATGAAATATTAACTGTCAAATAACACCACACGTCGACTTCTTCTTATTTAACCGTAATAATTCAGTTATTTAAATATCTACAAGCATATTGTGCAAATATTGGCTTATTTTGTTTTGGATGCATTAATATCACTTCAAAGCTTAAAGTATATCTGTGAAACAGATCTAACAAATATAAATATAAATATGATATATTAGCTGTCAAATAACACCACACGTCGACTTCTTCTTATTTAACCGTAATAATTCAGTTATTTAAATATCTACAAGCATATTGTGCAAATATTGGCTTCTTTTTGTTATGGATGCATTAATATCACTGCTTGAAAGTATATCTGTGAAATAGATTAACAAATTGTAAAGAAACATTGGACAATATGTCTGTTATATTCCGTTTCAGCTAGATATTGGAGAAACGATTAAGTGTCCGCAATCCCGATAAAATCAAATCTTTTACTTAGATCCGATGCCTCTCTGTGAATAGCTGAGCAGGCATGTGGACTCTCTTTTGAGCCAGTCAAGACTTCCTATTTCCCGGGCAGCGTTCAGATAAGCATATATGATTTCTTTATCTCCAAAACGAATTTTATCGAGGACTTCCGACTGCCAAAATCAAACCACGCCCTCACATTGTTGTTCATATGTCACGCCCCCTGTCGCTTCTGTGCCGCATGACTTCTATACCAAAATGGTTGTAGGACTGAAGAAATAAATGTGTGGGTTTTCATTAGTAAGAATCGAAATTAGATTCAAGTGACAAAGATCGCACAAAGCAGATATCATTCAGTCAAAACAACGATAACATAAGCTTCTGCGAAAGCCTGATATTAAATTCATTTTCACTTTCATTTGTAAACAATATATACATTTATATCATGTATATCACATCAATCATATTTCTATTTAGTAGCATATGTTACACTTTGTTCATATCCCGATTACATGGGGAAATATATAGCATGTGCACGGAAAGAATAATTATGACCTTAAAGATATTTTGTTAGCTCTCCGTAAAATGAATTTTGATAACCCTATCGATCATATGCAGTGACACGTTCGACCTAAAATGCCTGGAGTGTTGACTTTGATGTCTCTATATACAGCTATATTTACTGAAGGGTGTCACATCTCAAATAGTGTTTAAGTTCTTGTTTTTGTACGAGTGATTGACTGAGTGAGTTTAAACTGCTGTGAATTTCAAATGACCCTTGTCTCGACTCTGGGCTACATATTGGCCCACAGCAAGGCTAAGACTGTGGGTTGGACTGACTGTTTGTTGTTTAAAGACGAACTCAGTAATACGACAGCTTATGGCGGCCGTCTGTAAATAATCGAGTCTGGACCACACAATTCAATGGTCAACAGCATGAGCATCGATCTACGCAATTGGGATACATGATCGGATGGTCAACTCGAAGAAGCAAAACTTTGGTTCGAAAATCAAAAGCGAATCCTGGCACAACTAAGGGAAGTAACTCTGCTGCTCGAGAAACGACGCGTTTAGACTATATGGACACAAATAGAAGTTAAATTCAAATAATACCTTAATGTAACCGTGGAATAAACTGACGCTTGCAAAATAAATACAGACTTGTGTATTATTCAAAACTACAAGGACTGGGGTATTGAAATGATCCAGTTCAGAATACTGAACAGTTACTTCTAGACCTGCACGTAATACTTTCGCTTCAGGGTCTCTGGTGTACAAACTTATACCCGTTTGAATAAATTGGCAAATATTACTTTAATGCTTAGCACTAGTCAGCAATTGTATAGCCTCAGTTATATAAACACAGTATTGTATGTTAAAGAGATCTGCAAGGCTCACACACAGTGCCGCAAGTAATTGGAAGTGTCAAGAGCTCTTGTTCAGCTATAACCCGGACAATATGGAGATTGACGTGTTCGCGCACCAGGACTGCTGGGGGTGTTTACAAGTGTATTAACTGAAATATTCGACTTATGTAACAACATTCTTGGGAGTATTGAAACAAAAGAGCTGAATCGTGTGGTTCAAGCCAAACGTTATTTTACAAATGCAATTTCAATGTGTGGTTTGTATACTCGTGAAATGCCCCTTTAGTACATTTTTCTCGCGAGAATCTCGCGAGAGGTGACGTCTAGGGCAGGGCGTGGTGCGAACTGGAGGCTAATATTAGACTCAGATGTCTCAGGTGTACTGGCTATATATACTAGGCTGATAAGGCAGGCCAGGTGGGCGAGGGGGAACGCGTAAACTACAACATTGGCACCAAACCCTGACCATTTTCTCCATCACGGTCTTAAGCACTATATATACATGTCATGGACAGACGGCAGAAGGCTGGACCTTGACCTTGACCTTTGCATGCTTTTCCCAAAAGCAAATTAAAAGTTTTAAGAAACGTGATTATTTGAAACCTAACACGAATCGTGATCTTGAACACTGGCACTAAACCCTGACCATTTTCTCCAGCACTCTATGCGTGTCAAGGACACATGACAGAAAGCTGGACTTTTACCTTTGCATGCTTTTCCCAATATCAAATTAAAAGTGTTAAAGTGTTATTTGTAACTAATTTAACAAAGTTATATCCCATTTTTGACAATTAGGGATACCAATCTTAGGGATGTTCAATATTCAACCGATTTTTAAAAAGTTATAGATTTAAACGACACTTAACACGAATCGTGATCTTAGGACGATTTTGTCTAAAAATGTCCAAATTGGCTTACAGGGTTGTCAGAAAGATAATCTGCTCAGATAAAGTGAAATATATATATATCAGAGTTCATTTGGTAACAACTTCAGTCAAAAGCGAACGCTATTGAAATAATACCCAAAACACCAATAAAAAACTTGAGGCTAAACTATGATGCTCGAATCAATCAATCTGAAAAGCTTGGTCTTCTTGTTGTCCCACACTTTAGGTCCAGTACCAGGTTTGGGGATCGATCATTCCAGGTGGCAGGACTCACTCTCTGGAATCAACTTCCACTGGAGTTAAGGACAATTAACAACCTGAAGATTTTCAAATCCAAACTGAACACATACCTTTTTAAGAAAGGATACAGTATCTACTTTTCATTCTTGAGCAGTACTTTTGGACTGGAATTGGCGCTATATAAATGTTGTCATGATGATGATGATGAATTACATGAGTATATCAGCATGGAACATAATTTTTCGTTTGTTTCATGTTCTGCAACCATCAGTGCACATGATACAATGCAATGTATTAAATTGAGATTGCATAAAATATTGAAAGGTGTCGCGGACAAAGCTTATGTGAGTAAGGCAGTAAGACTCCGTTTTTATTCACTGAAAGCAGAACCTCTTCCCCTTCCTCTAACACCTTGACTTCCAATACCAACGTTATCAACTGAAAACACACCTGGAGGTAAATGCATCCCACATATTATTATTATTATTATTATTATTGTTATTGGATATTTATATAGCGCACATATCCACGCACTAGTGCATGTTCAAGGCGCTGGTATTTTTTCCCTCGATCATTGGATGTCAATCTCAACGGCACATCTTATTATCAATCTCAACTCCGCGGTGATCATACAACTCTTGCTGCCACAAGGCGCACCGAGTTATTGCGGCTTTCTCATCCTTACGAGGTACCCATTCACAGCTGGGTGGACTGGGACACATAGTCACAGTACTTTGTCCAAGTTTACTGCACGTTGCTGTACCCGCAACTAGGTGTTTGCACGTATTCATGTGGCCACCATCTGGTCATATACCAACGGATTCGTGGGTTCTTTTAAGTGCACAGGGTTGTGTACTGTACACTAGGGGTTGTGACAACACTGAAAGAGTCTGCACACAAAGTTGACTAAAGGTTTTACACCCGGTCACAGGTGGGCTCGATCCCGGCACCTCATGCTCGCTGGATCACTAGCCTGGCGCTTTAGCCAGCTCGCCCACCGCGCCCCTTATATGACATAAACCACGGGATATTCAATAAATATTTTGTTTATTGACAATAAATACCAGTGATGAGAAGGATTTCTACTGACGCGCCGAAGTACGTGAAACATTTCTTTTTTTTCAGCCTTAACACATTGCAGTCATTCTTGTAGTGTTGATACCTTCAGAGGAGTAATGTAGAACACGCTTACAGAAGTACATCTAGAATGTCTACCCTGCTGAGAAACAAATTAAAACATATTTTTAATGATTACACAACACGTGTACGATCAACGCCCTAATCAATATTCGCTGTGGTGGGGCTGTTTTGTTGTTGCCTAAACACAATTAACCAAAACGTCCTGACACATTCTTCCAGCATATTCAAGCTTCGCTTTCAATTCCTAGGTTTCTAATGTTAATTTAAACCGAAGCGGACCCGTGAAGATCCGGGTTAGAATGTACCTTCAGTAACCCATGCTTGTCGTTAGAGGCGACTAACGGGATCGGGTGGTCAGGCTCGCTGGCTTGGTTGACACATGTCATCGGTTCCCAATTGCGCAGATCGATGCTCATGCTGTTGATCACTGGATTGGCTGGGCTAGACTCGATTATTTACAGACCGCCGCCATATAGCTGGAATATTGCTGAGTGCGGCGTAAAACTAAACTCACTCACTTAACCGAAGATATAAACGTGAGGGTAAAACAAATCGATCGAAACTGACCTGTTATGCTCTGATTGAAAATAACTTCGTTATATAATGACACCATTATCTTTTTGTTGTACACTTGCCGCGAAAAGACATGCCGTATTTTCTTTATTAGAGGTCTATCGTTCCGTACAGGCGTTTTAAGAGGCTTTGCGTCTGTTCTTTTTAATACTGGCAGTCGGGCAATTCAGTTATTTACCTATGCCAATTCTCACAGTCGTACAAAGGTTACATTTGCAAGAAACGGTCATTACAAAACGGCCTGGGGTCAAATGAGGATGGGTATATTTCGGACAGCATATAACCCGGGTTCATTTCGAGTCCTTGTAATGGTAGACCGGGCTAGGAAATATGGAAAAAATACACATTTGCTTAAGCAGCAACTCTGTGGTGATTGGGGGCAAAAATTGTTCCCCACCTCATGCTTATCGTAACAGTCGACCACAATGGGGATCGGATGGTCAGGTTTTTGTGACTCTGCTGATTGTCACCGTACCCAGACGGCGTGAGGTTATCATTCTATCAACCACTAGTTTATGGCGTTCAGACTGATGATCATTTACTGTCCGTATCATGCCCAGGTCACGGTCTAGGAGATATTGATACACGGCTATAGTGTCTGACAATGTTCACTCTCTCAGTAAAGTAGAAAATTGTCAAAATTTTATCTCATAAAGTGTAACTATTGATTTGAAACCTGCATATAATTTCCCATTGGTCCATCACTATGGTTAGCTTTGATGAGCTCATAACGTCGAATTCACGGGTAGTTATAAGCACAGCTTATAATGATACGAAACTAAAAATACGAAACTAAAAATATCACTGCTGCTTTGTCTATCGTATATTTACCGTGTCCCTGATAAGATTGAATTAAGTTTGTTTTGTATTTGTTATTGTTTAAGGTCTCAATCAGAAATATTCCAGAGATTCCAGAGAGACGAGGTTTGTTATTAATCGAGCAACGACCAGGAGGATCTGTCAAAGGAATTGGGATATGATGATGTGCAGTCAACCACGTCACTGAGCCTGACCATCCGATCCACTAAATAGTCTCCTGTGATAAGCATGGGTTGATTGGGACTAATATATTTATCCAGAATCATCAAGGGTCAAATGCGACTGGGAAATGACCCAAACACAAGCATCCCCTTCTCAATAACGGAGTCCTTTTGGGGGGACAGAACATTTGCAAGACGACAACGATAAGAAAACAATGAAAGGACCCTAACACAAGCTACTCTCGTCTGTCTCACAGTCCCTGAATTCTCCCTACTGCCTAGCCCTCCACGCACACACACACACACACACACACACACACACACCAAGCTAAAGCCCTAAATGAAGCAAGTCTATTCCTCAGGTTCTGAATCTCCCATCTCACTGGGGGGATTTGTTACTCCTGTTCAATATAAATGGGTTTATTTGTTACTCCTGTTCAATATAAATGGGGTTATTTGTTACTATCAAAATTATATCTATTCAGGGACTAAGCGTTAGTCTTAAGCTAAACCTTCCAAAAACATTCTTTTCTGAGGACAGGCCATTTGCAAGGCGACAACGATAAGAGACCAACGAGAGGACCCAAACACAAGCATCCCTTCTCAGTGACGGTGTCCTTTGTGGGGGACAGACCATTAGCAACGATAAGAAACCAACGAATAAACAAACAAACCCGTCATTCCAATAAAATTAATTATGCCTCCTTGACATGTGCATGTATTTCGATAACTCTGTAAGCAGTGAAAGATTATCTAACATAAACAAATTGTAAATTTGTGATCGTGTGACAGTAACCTCTCTCTTATCAACAATGAATCCGTCTGTATAACACTTCCAAAACACAGATACGCAATAGTGAAAATATGTCAGACGAGTTGTTCTTATGTGGAGGGCTGCTATATCATCGGTTGAGGCTGTTAAACGTTGTAGCTGTTGTAAGAAATAGTAGTTGCATTGTTAAGCCATAATCTATAATAATTCCATCCTCGTCTCTCCGTGCCATTTTATGGAATTGTTCCAGTAGCTATATTCACGTTAGGTTTGTGTATATATAAGCCTAAACAGTGTAAAATTGAATCCTCGAAATATCTTTCGACCACGAAAACACAAATTCGAGTCAATGGCTGCAAAAAGGGACTCGAATCGAAGTTCCCATCTTTGAACAACGTCGACCGGTCAAGAATATCGTTGGCCGGTCATGAAACAAACCGTTTACCATTCATAAAGTTACGTTGGAAAGTCGTAAAACTACGTTGGTCATTCTTAAAACAACGTTGACCTGTTACTGAGAAAGGAACCGGTAAAGGAGAGCATATGTGTGTAAAACTTCCTTGTACTTTCTAATGTGGCGAGGGAAAAACAGGATTAAAAAACGGGAGGACCGATGTCCATTGAAAAATAGCATACTCTGAAAATGGTCAAATTCTATTTGCTTTTTTACTGAACATGAGTTGATTGAAATTTATTAATCAATATGAAATATATACTCATTACATTTACTCAAACATGCTCTCTAGTCCAGAGTCGATTATTTACAGACCGCCGTCACATAGCTGGAATACTGCGGAGTGTGTCGTAAAACCCCCAAAAACAAACAACATCAGATTTCGCGTACAGAACATAGGTAATGGTATTTGTTCTATATAAAAGGTTCTCAAATATTCCGAGAATATAAAATATAGCGATCATCAATGCAAAGCTTCTGAAAATGTCTCTTTAAAGTTCTGTCTTGTACTCATGTAAACCAATGATAGTGTTGGGATATCGCTGGAACCACCCTCACCACACTAACTCGTAAACGTGTGATGTCAGTGATAGTGGTAGGTCCAGTCCCACACTCCGCTATGATAAACAACCAGGCTCCCGATCTACAAAGTGTTCGTCAAGTTACGACCAATCGTAAGTCTATACCATATCATAGGCTTAGTGATGCGAACTACTTTTTGTGGATCGGGCACCAGTCCCTGAGTATCAAGGTAGGGGTGCTATCGTGGCAACAGTATTTCGATAATTAGCGATACTTAGTACGCGTACCGTAATGTACCTAGTTAATACAATAAAAGAACTGAAATTAAAGCCAGATGCTTATTTACAAAATTGGGCACACATCACTGAACCACATCATTTCCCCTTCTGCCCAGCCCTTTCTGCAATGCTAAAGCCCTAAATGAAGACTTTTAGATTTTCTCAGGTTCAGGAATCTCTGAACTCTATTCTCATAGGGGGTCCTTTTCAGTTTTAAAGGAATTGTTTGTTTCTATCCATATTCAGAGACTACGCGTCAGTCTATATTCGTGGTCTGCCCTGTTGGACACAATGAAATTGGAACTGAGCTAAAGAATGTTTTGAAAAGAGACGGGGTTATGTTCAAATATTTGTTCTGAAAGTTTCAGTCAAGTCCCCGTTTGTTTTTCTGAAACCGAAACGTTTTAATGATATGTTATAATGCATACCAATTTAACATTTAAAGATTGACCTAATTCAGACTGACCCTGTCTCAGTTTCAGACTGACTGACTGAATTTGGTTTTACGCCGCTTTTAGGAATATTCCAGCAACATCACGACGGGGAATACCAGAAATGGGTTTCACACATTGTACCCATGTGGGGATTCGAACCCAGGTTTTCGGCGTGACGAGCCAACGCTTTAACCACTAGGCTACCCCACCGCCCCCTCAGTTTCAGAGAAGAACGCAGTACATTGTCTAGACCTGTCGTATTTCCTCATATAAACATAGACCTCGAATAAACGCCAGGTCTCGTTCACACGCTGGTTCTAAATCAAAACATATGTAGATTTTATATGTACAAAATGTTCCCCTTTATCGTCTTTGCAATTCAAAGTAGGGAGTAAAGAAGAATGTCTGAAACAAAATACACTCCATGACCTATGAGTATTAGTTGAGGAAATACGGTACTCTGAAAAGGGCCCGTGCATTCAACAAGGTCTCACCTCAACCTCTTTATCGACCCAACTGGCGGATTGATCAGAATACGGGTTTTAGATTGTCAGCGAAAATATTACAAACCACAGTAATCTATTGTATTAATCTGTAACCGGATTTTCCTGAAATTCGTGAATGTAAGATCATTACAATAGGCTGCTAGCTAACCAGGAAGTGATCTCGCTTGACGTCACACTGATGATGTTATCAGTGAAATCCGTGCAGTTGGCCACGAAGGTATGGAAGCGTATTAATGCCACAGTTTAAGAGATTTGTAACAACACCGAAGATAATACTTACATCTACCTAGATGATGCTTAATATCTTCTACGTACATGCAAAGTATCTTCTACAAGATGAAAGTATCATCTACATAGATGTAAGTATTATCTAACTATATGAACGTATCCTCTACGTAGATTAAGGGGCGGATACAGCTTTTTGAGAAGGGGAGTGTGGAGGTGGGGGTGGTGCACAGTGCATTTTCACCCGTTTTCACGAAAGTTGGTCATGGTCATTTAATAAACTTTCCGAACAAAAGGAGGGGGTGAGGGGGTAGATGAAAGTATCCTCTACGTAGATGTAAGTATCCTCTACGTAGATGTAAGAATCCTCTATGTACATGAAAGTATCCTCTACGTACATGGAAGTATCCTCCAGGTACATGAAAGTATCCTCTACGTACATGAAAGTATCCTCTACGTACATGGAAGTATTCTCTAGTATAGATGTAAGTATCCTTTACGTAGATGAAAGTATACTCTACGTAGATGTAAGTATCCTCTAGGTACATGAAAGTATCCTCTACGTAGATGTAAGTATCCTCTACGTACATGAAAGTATCCTCTACGTACATGAAAGTATCCTCTACGTACATGAAAGTATCCTCTACGTACATGAAAGTATCCTCTACGTACATGAAAGTATCCTCTACGTACATGAAAGTATTCTCTACGTACATGAAAGTATCCTCTACGTAGATGTAAGTATCCTCTACGTACATGAAAGTATCCTCTACGTACATGAAAGTATCCTCTACGTACATGAAAGTATCCTCTACGTGGATGTAAGTATCCTCTACGTACACGAAAGTATCCTCTACGTACATGAAAGTATCCTCTACGTATATGAAAGTATTCTCTACGTACATGAAAGTCTCCTCTACGTACATGAAAGTGTCCTCTACGTAGATGTAAGTATCCTCTAAGTAAATGTAAGCATCATTTACGTAGATGATAAAATAGTTTTCGACTTCTGGCACTAACCCGCTTCATATATGTAAATACCACTGTCTAAAGCTATGATGGTACCTCGATATAGACACATCAAGGTTGTTAGTGAGACAAATCGGCCAGAGGCAGGGGTGGAAATAACTTTAAAATTGCTAGTGTACTCAGGTACAGTGCCACATGCAAAATCACTTGCCCGATCATTTTTCCACTATACCGGCCGTTTTCTTGTTGATTTTTTAAATAAAAAACATGATTAATATTGGAAAGTCAACTTGACACCGGTACAGCATGATATACAAAATTACTTGCCCGACAGAAAAAAACACTGGACTCGGACGTCGGGCAATGGGTTATTTCCACCCCTGCAGAGGTTACATAAAACAGAACAGAAATCATTGTTGATAATATGACAACTAATTCCTTCCTCTGAGTGAGTTTAATTTTACGCCGCCTTTAGGAATATTACAGCAATAGCATGGTGGGGGACGCCAGAAATGGGTTTCACACATTGAACCATATGAGGAATCGATCCCGGAACAACGTGACCGTCGAACGCTTTAACTGCTAGGCTTCCCCACCGTCCCTTCTTTTAATTAGATCATAATATCACATATACGTATTACCTATATAGATGATAAAACATTGTTGACTGTGACGCTAACACGCTTCCATAGTCAGGTACACCAGCTGCATCCCCTTTAGAGGTTAAAATGTTCTGCATCCTACTGATGGGACGTGAACGTCATTCAGTGCAGCGCTCCTTTAGGGGCGAGGTGATATGATGCAACAACGACTTCGTGTCTTTCAACATGTTTGAAACACATTCAACAAAATATCACTACTTCAAGAATTCATCTTGTTATATCTCTTTTCACTTATTATACACTTTTCACTTAATATCACTACTTCAAGAATTCATCTTGTTATATCTCTTTTCACTTATTATACACTTTTCACTTAATATCACTACTTCAAGAATTCATCTTGTTATATCTCTTTTCACTTATTATACACTTTTCACTTAATATCACTACTTCAAGAATTCATCTTGTTATATCTCTTTTCACTTATTATACACTTTTCACTTAATATCACTACTTCAAGAATTCATCTTGTTATATCTCTTTTCACTTATTATACACTTTTCACTTAATATCACTACTTCAAGAATTCATCTTGTTATATCTCTTTTCACTTATTATACACTTTTCACTTAATATCACTACTTCAAGAATTCATCTTGTTATATCTCTTTTCACTTATTATACACTTTTCACTTAATATCACTACTTCAAGAATTCATCCTGTTATATCTCTTTTCACTTATTATTAACTCATTCGGTACCATGGATTTTGAAACCGATTGGTCGGCACAACGATATCCTCTATTCAAGTGAGTGAGTTGATTTTTACCCCGCTTTCGCCAATATTCAGCAATGTCACAGCGGGGGACATTCACACATCGTCACCCTGTGGTGAACTGAACCCGGCCCAAATGGCGTGACGACCGAACACTTATCCACTAGGCTGCCTCATCGGCTACCTCACTTACTCTCATGAGCGAGAGGAATTTGGTGTAAATTAGAGCAAAGGGAAACTGCAGAATTAGGCAAACTGTAGCGCAAATAGGGCTGCGCATCAGAGCAAAATTACCGGTCTTTCTATGTGCTCGCGCATAGGAAGACTGGTCATTTTCTAATTGTTGCGCAACCCTATTTGCGCTACAGTTTGCCTTTGATTAGCTGACTGACTGAGTTTAGTTTTACGCCGCTTTTAGCAATATTCCAGCAATATCACGGCGGGGGACACCAGAAAAGGGCTCCACACATTGTACCCATGTGGGGAATCGAACCCAGCGCAATATAAATAGAGGATACTAAACGACCTTCAGTGTAATACCATTTTTATTAAACGAGTTAATGATTTGGTATCAAACGAGCGAAAGCGAGTTTGATGCTAAATCTTTCACGAGTTTAATAAAATTGTATTTCACGGAAGCGAGTTTAGTATTCTGTTTATTACTCTCCAACATAGAAACTGCCTACGAAGTTTGATGACTCAGCTTTCTACGAGTCAAGCAAGGTCTAATACCATTGTGACAGAGGTATTAGCATTGTGACGTCATAACTGTAACCATTATGACGTCATACGTCTAGCGGTATTACACTAGTGTAATATTGCCGTAAAAATATTACACTGCAGTATCTTCCACGGGCGAGTAATATAGGCCAGTATATATATAATATATATATCATATATTCCCTTTTCAGCCAACTTTGTCCCCATAAATATAATGGTGAAAAACATAGTTGCCAGAGGTTGATTTTGGTTGGGTTTGGTATGATGTAAGAAAACATGGTCATAATTCATTTTAATCGGAAAATTGTCTGTTTTCGAAAATGTCCAGGTCTTTCAATATTTCCACTGGCCTAATAAGTGGCCTTATTATAACTCTCCATAGCCACATGGGGTGCTTTCCTGGATATCTGTAACACAAATCCCAGCTGTTCCATTATAGAAAGCCTGGGTTTGAACGCCGCTTACAAAGCCAGCAATAAGACTGAAAGTGGATTGGTTGGCTCAGAGTGATTGACAGTGTGTTGAACCAGCAGGTGTTAACTCAAGCCTATCAAATCTGGTCATCTGCACACAGACATGATAATGCGGAATTATGGTTAAAATTCCCCCTTTAAATCCACCTGTGGCAATCAGAGCACGTGTAGGTGAAATATACCGACATTGCCACCACTTGTGCCAAACCTTTGATCGCACTCTCGTTAGCCTCTGTTGGCGCAGGTCCCACATTCAGACGAAGGGTGTGTCTGGATCTGACTTACACCTCCATCAAGAAATAAACTTAAATATTTATTCCAGCAGCACTGGTATCTGTACTAAAGGGCGGGAGTAGATAGAAGCACGGTGCTGTTAACGTCAGTGTCGTCTCACAAGGCCATGGTCAAATTGTGGAGAAAACGACAAGTTAAAGAAGGAGTGAGTGAGTGAGTTTAGTTTCACGCCGCTTTTAGCAATATTCCACCAATATCACGGCGACGGACTCCAGAATGGGCTTCACACATTGTACGCATGTGGAGAATCGAACCCGGGTCTTTGGCGTAACGAGCGAACGCTTTAACCACGAGGCTACCCCACCGCCCCAATTGAAGGAGGTTCTGTTGCTCACCTGCTTGATCCTGGAAATTATATTCATTGTTGTACATCTTGAATTTGCCTGTTTTTTCGAATCTTGAATGGTTTTGATCAAATTAAAAGTAAGTTTTCCAAAATCATGTTGCAGGATTAAATTTGTTTTCAAGTGGTTTAGAGGGGATATAACAAGCAAAGGTTGTGTATAGTCTGTCTGTAGTGAAGACGTACCGATGAATTGCACTTTGAACAAAAAAGTAAATCAAATAAAGTGAAATTAAGATTGCACATTAAATGAAACCCAGAGAACAAGAAGCGTTGATTTCTACGGTAGTCTAAGTTAACGCTCATAACGCACCTCACGTGCATTTGTTTCACTGTTCCAACTACTGCGCGTACCCCCTTGTAATACAAACGAATAATAGCGATTTGAAACTATGATCGTTTGTTAAACAACTTTTATCCTAAGTTGAATAAATATTCTGAGATTTAAATGTTCAATTGACAAAGTAAAGTTATGAGGATTCGCAATCTTAATTTCACTTTATTTGATTTACTTTCTTGTTTAAAGTGAAATTCATCGGTACGTTTTCACTGCAAACAGACAATAGATGACAATGGCATTTAAAGTTTTACCAAAGAGGAACATCGTTCTCCCAGTTAAAGCTTACACGCCTTGATGTCCATGAAATTATACCATTAATTCGCTTTAAACTCAACTCACTCACTCACTCACATCAAGCTGACATCTATCTGGAACACCTTTCCAAGCCGCGCTGAACCGAACATACATATTGAAAAATGAATAAATGGCTCATTTGGAAATTTAAAAACTTGGTTTGAATTTCATATTTACGTTCCAGAGATTCTATTGCTTGAAACACACACTTAGATTTTCAACATGTGCTGTTAAATCTATTTTCAATCGTAATTATGCATATATATTAATATTATCCTCAAACAAAGGGTCGAGGGTCAAATATAATACAATACATACCGACTACATAACATATTTCACGATGACAAAAAACAGAAAGTGGGTCAGATTAGCATTTTCATATCGAAAGGTCGATGGAGTGTACGAGCAAATTTAAGAGGCAAAATTTCGCTGTGACTACCATTCGAAACGTAGTTTCTAATGAGGTACCGAAAAAATAGCATTAAGGATTGGCATACCGGGATGACTTCCGTGAAGAATATGTGTCCATGCATATTCGTGTCTCTTTACAAGAACATGGCCCAAAGTACAATAAGGGGCTAAATAATCATTAATTTAAATAAAATATCCAGATTATATTAATGATAAGAACAGGTTGTTCCTAGACATGACTGGCGTCCTTGGAATGCCCGCATATTACGACTTCCCTGTTATAAGGACACACTTAGTGTGCATCCACGGACCAATCATTCAGTACAGCCTTGGAGCGCGGTAAAATTCTCCCGTCAATAAGCATTGTTCTATGAGATAATTAAGTGAGCAATATATAATGATGGTTGATTACGTCTGCGTTCCTGTTTTAATAATAGTGAATGGTGTTTACATGGTTTGTGTTCCACAGTCAGAATTGGGAGTTGCCCACGTTATTGACGTTCGTTTGATGTTTAACGCCGTGCTGGGCTGAGGTTACAGTCTCAGCTGATTAGCTCATCGATTAATATTACTGTTTTTCTATCTGTTGCTACAGGGTGTCTCCGATCAATTTATAAGAAATTACTGCCCGTGAGCATCGAATATCTAATCTCTAATTTTCATAAACAAAAAGGATTCGAATTCGAAAAAAAAAGCCGGTACGAGTTTTAGAAAAACAAGATGGCGGCTCCTAGAACTCACAACAGGGTGTTTAATCACAATTCAACGCTAACCTTTTATGAATAATATGTTTGGAGGTAATGAATTAGATGTTTTAAGAAGAAATATATGTAGATTTGAAAAATATTTTTACGTTTATAGCCAAACCACGCCTGTCGGGGAACGATGGCATTTAAATCAACCAAGTCACCGAGGTTAACAACTCGATCCCGTGACAGTGAGTGAGTGAGTTCCGTTTTACGCTGCTTTTAGCAATATTCCAGCAATATCAGGCGGGGACACCAGAAATAGGCTTCACACATTGTACCCATGTGGGGAATCGAACCCGGGTCTTCGGCGTGACGAGCGAAC